GTGCCACGTAGCGAGCCAGGAGGCTGAGAGGGTACGCGAGGTCAGGTCGTGTGCACGTCATCAGGTACATGAGGCAACCCACAAGCTCTGGGTATGGACCACTCGGCTCTACGGACTCGTTTGAACGTGGAGCTGAGAGCGAGTGGCCGGTAAACAAAGGAGTGGGCTGTGGCGAGGACCACGAGAAGCCGAAGCGCTGAAGGACCTACTGCACCATGTGTGACTGAGTCAGGGTGATGGTGTGCCGTGCTCTGTCCCGGGTGATCTGCAAGCCAAGATAGCTCCACAGCTCACCCAGGTCAGTGCAGGTGTGACTCTCCTGCAGCTCCGCCTTCACTAGGGCCAGTGCCTCAGTGTCAGCAGTAGCAAAAACCAAGTCGTCGACATACAAGAGGATGTAGAACGGCGGCAGAGTAGTGTCGGTGCGTAGAAACAGCGACGGGTCAGCAGTCGAAGGAGCAAACCCAAGAGCCGCAAGTGTCGTCCTCAGTGTGTCGTGCCACTTGCGGGGCGCCTGACGTAGGCCGTACACTGGTCGCCGTAGGCTCCACTGGGTACCCTCAGGAAACGACCCAGTGAAGCCCTCTGGACGGCGCATCCAGATGGCCTCGTGAAGGCTACCCTGTAGGAAAGCTGTCGAGAAGTCGAGGGAGTGCAGCTCGTAGTCGCGCTGTGCTGCAACGTGCAGCAACACCCGAAGAGTGGTCACCTTCTCAACAGAGAAGGTCTGAAAGAAGGTAACCCCCGCACGCTAACTGAAGCCTCGAGCAACGTAACGTGCCTTGTATGCAGGCGGAGAACCTGGCGGCCGCTTCACTCTGAAAATCCACATGCCACTGACAATGTTCGCCCCAGGTGGGGGAACCTGGTCGACGTAGGTGCCTGTGGACTTCCATGAAGCCATCTCTGCGTCCATGGCTGTCTGCCACTGAGAGGAGTACTCACCCGAAATCGCCTCTCTGTAAGAGCGCGGGGTGGGGATGTCAAGTGCATCCGGGTCTCCCTGAGGGGCAAGCAGCATGGTCGCGAGATTGGGTGAAGCGGCCGCAAGGCACTCCAGCTCCTCCTGCCTGTCCTCAAGAACGTCACAGCCAAGGGCATTACAGCCAAGGGCAGTACAGCCAAGGGCAGTCTCACCCCCGATGGGCAGAGGACAGGCACGGACAGGGTCAGAAACAAGGCTCGCAAGGTAGTCTAGGCGGTACACAGCAGCAAAGTCAACGAGCTCAGTGACTAAGGCAGAGACAGCAGGAGACGAGAACGAAGGGTCAGTCACCACCGTAGCAAGAAAGCGAGTAACATTCGGACTGGACGCACGAGCAAGGTCAGACAGGGTCAGCAATGTCAGGAAGGGAGGACGCAGGAGGTAACAGGAGGACAACACGCTGTGGAACAGAGGAAGGACGGAGTGTCATATCGTGAGTGCCTTGGACAGTCGGAGCATGCTGATGACGAACACGAGGAACATGAGTACGGACAGCGGCTCTAGGCTCGGGCTCAAGGTCAAAGCTAAACTCAGGCTCTCGACGCTCAGGGGTGGAAGCACAATTTTCAGGCTCTCGACGCTCAGACAGGGACTGTGTCACCGCAGTGTAAGGAGTAAGAGCAGGCAGTGGGGAGTGCGGTAGCAGCGGCGGCTGAGACCGGTCGGCCGGTGGAAACAGTAACGGAGGAGTAGTACCTGCCACAGGGAAGTCAGTAGTACCTGGCGGAAGACTGAGAAGGTGGCCAAGAGCACCAGCAGCTCCCGTACCTCCAGCACGAGCAGCACCAGCACCTCCAGCACCTCCAGCACCACTAGCTCTGGCAGCTCCAGCACCTCCAGTGCTAGCAGCTCCAGTAGCACCTCCAGCACCTCCAGCACCAGTAGTACCACCTGCTCCGGCAGCCCCAGCACCTCTGGTACGAGTACCTCCAGGACCTGCAGCTCTATCTCTAGCGCCTCCAGCACCAGCAGTACCTCCAGCACCTCCAGTGCCAGCAGCTCCAGTAGCACCTTCAGCAGTAGCGTAATAGTCCAGCGCTGCTGCTGGGTAATAGCGGACCGCGCCCCAGACCCGAAACACTGACGCATCGCCAGCCTTCCCCGTCCACCTGAGTGTGGGCGAGGTCTCTGGCTCCGAGACACGAGGCCAAAGGTTGAGCTGATGCGCAGCGTATCGGACCGCAAACGGCCACAGAAAATGGGGAGCAGCCGCATGGATCACGGAGGTACGAGCAACCTCCATGATCAAGCCAATGCGACGCTCAGCAATCCCATTCTGCAGAGGAGAGGCCAGAAGCGTGAATGTCTGGCGGATGCCCTCGTCTTGACAGAACCTCGCAAGGAGGTCAGAAGAGAACTTACCGCCCCTGTCAAAGTGCAGACGCAGGACTGGAAGGTCCTGCTGAAAACGCTCGTGCAGCTGGAGACGAGTAGCACGGATCCAGGGGATTAAAACACCGCTGACGTCCGCCTTGCGACGCAAGGGGAAGACTGTGGTGTAGCGTGTGTAGTCGTCAACAACCAACAGGAATTAGCGCTCCTGACTCGTTCCACCGATGGGGGCCGGGCCCCAGACGTCCATGTGGAGAGTCTACAGAGAAGCAGTGGTCGAAGGAAACTCGGAGGAGTGAGGAGCGGCGCGCTGCCGCCCCTCGACGCAAGGAAGACACGGCGAGGCAAGCGAGCGCGGCAGGGGGGGCAGGGTCCTGAGGAGGCTAGAGACAAGGAGACGGGAGTGCATGCTGCGTAGACGCGGCGGGGAGGGGTGACCAAGATGGTGGTGCCAGCGCGGAGTACTCTGCACGAGCACGACGCAGCTAACTGACCCGACGCAGATGCCTGAGCCGACGCGGCCACCTGACGTGCCTCAGCCACCTGTGCAGACGCAGTGGTCAGTGTGTACAGACTAGAGCCAGGTGACGGCCAGTCCGGGAGCACGTACAGATCGCCACACGCTGCCCTCCAGGAATAAAGGTATCAACCAGACATCCTGAATGGCAGCGTTGCTCACCAAGTTTGTTGAGAACGTGGGGAGGTGGAGACCTGACAGAGATCCGGAGGGGACTGCTGGACAAGGGAGGACCGTGGAGCTCTCGCAACTACTGGGCTCCCAGAGGGGTCAGCCAGTGAGACTGGGACAGGTGCTGTGAGTGGTGTGACTGTGGTGCAATCACGAAAGAAGCAACGTGACGCGCCTGAGTCAAGCGTGAAAGTGTGCAAGACCTCAGCTGAGGCGAGACCTGTGGTAGTAGACGCACTAGCACCTAGAGCGTCGGCAGACTCACGGGCACCTAGAGCTGCAGCAGACTCACTAGTTCCTGGAGCGGGAACCTCTACACATCCAGGGACGCATCGCTGAGAAGCACAGTCGCAACGTCGCTTAGGCCACTTAAAATCAAAACCTCCACCACCACGCCTGCCTCGCTGAAAAACCCACTCACGAAGCTGCTGAGGGGTGGGGTCGTCCGGGAGAGGCAGTGCCCGCTGCTGTCCATCCCTGGCCGCAGCAGCTGCCGCGATAGTGGCCATGACAGACAGCGACGGTCAGGAGTAGGTCCAGCACCTCCAGCTCCTCCAGCACCAGCAGCACCTCCAGCACTCCCAGCAGCAGCAGTAGCACGAGTAGCAGCAGCAGTAGTAGTAGCAGCAGCAGGGCGGCTCAGTGGGGCTGGGCGGCCGCACCTCCCGCACTTCCAGCAGCACCTCCACCAGCAGCAGCAGCAGCAGCAGCAGTTTTTTTTTTTTTTTTTTTTTTTTTTTTTTTTTTAAGGTTTAGGGTTTCGTGCGGGCTGCAGGGGCAGCGCCCACGAGCTGCAAGGGCGACGCGCGACTCGGCAGGGCGGCGCGCGGGCTGCAGGGGCAGCGCCCACGGGCTGCAGGGGCGACGCGCGGCTCAGCAAGGCGGCGCGCGGGCTGTAGGGGCGGCGCGCGGCTCGGCAGGGCGGCACCCAGGCTGCAGGGGTGACGCTCGGCTCGGCAGGGCGGCGCGCGGGCAGCAGGGGCAGCGCCCACGGACTGCAGGGGCAACGCTCGGCTCGGCAGGGCGGCGTACGGGCTGCAGGGGCAGCGCCCACGGGCTGCAGGAGCAATGCGTGGCTCGGCAGGGCGGCGCGCGGGCTGTAGGGGCAGCGCCCACGGGCTGCAGGGGCGACGCGCGGCTCGGCAGGGCGGCGCGCGGGCTGCAGAGGCAGCACCCACGGGCTGCAGGGGCGAACGCGCGGGCTGCAGGGGCAGCACGCGGGCCACAGGGGCAGGCACGGCTGCAGGGGCAGCACGGTCGCAGGGGCAGGCACGGCTGCAGGGGCAGCACGGTCGCAGGGGTGAGTACGGCTGCAGGGGCAGCGCACGGGCTGCAAGGGCAGCGCGGCTGCAGGGGCAGCGTAGGAAGAAAAATTTTACGGGTAGGGTAGGGCGGAACGTTCGGTGGGCCCTAGGAACGATTCTGCTCTGATACCATGTTAGAATAAGCAGGCGGGAATGATGAACTAGGTAGCATGCATGAGTACAAGTACCTAGCCCTAAATTGTTGTACACCTCTTGTAGGCTAACCAACTAAAGCCTAGAGATAACACAAACATACAGTTTGAAAGTTGTCTATGGCACAGTCGAGCGCAGAGGCAGAGACCTACGCTAGTGCCATGGCTGTGCAGGGGCGGTCTCACTGACCTTGGTGAGCGGTCTCAGCAAGGTCGTGATCCTCCTTTTTTCACTATAATCAGGGTTCCAAGTTCCAACTACAAAAGACTTCCACCACCTACGGGGCTTATCTTGTCCAATATCCTTTCTTATTCCAACACCGTAGACTGTACATACGGTAGTAGTACATCCCTAAAAAAACATGCACATAATGATTAAAAGGTGGTAATCGCCAAGAACCGATCAAGCAATCTGCAGCAAACATGGTACCCAAGCCAGTTGTCATCCAAAATCGTGCTCCCGTTCCATCCACCCAACATTTGCACAGCCAGTGGTGTGGTGGTTCCCAAGACACGAGGCAGTGTGGCAAGGTTGTGGTCTAGCCCTGGGAGTTGAGCAGCATGCGCAGAGTGTTGTTGGGCGTGAGGAACTTGTGTGGCAGCGGCTGGCCGTTGACGGGCGACGTGTCGCGTGTCTTGAGCCACTCCTCTATGCTGCTGCGCTCATATGTGAAGCCGTCTGCCGCCACCACCGGGTCACTCATGCGCTCCTGCCAGAGGGCAAGGGGACAACCCATGAGAGGTGAGGTGAGGAATGAGTGAAGTGGAGGGAGAGTGGGCATCGCACCTGGGAGAGCGGGCATCACACCTGGGAGAGCGGGCATCGCACCTGGAAGAGCGGGCATCGCACCTGGGAGAGCGGGCATCGCACCTGGGAGAGCCGGCAGAGCACCTGGGAGAGCGCGCATCGCACCTGACTGAGAGGGCAGAGCAGCTGCGAGTCCATGTGGCCGCGGCGGCGCTCCGCTGCCTCCTTGCAGCGCTCCGCCAGGGCCACCAGCGCCGGCTGCAACTCCCGGTCCAGATCTGGCCGCCGCGCGCGCTGCCGGTCCGCACAGCGCAGCGCCAGCCCCGCAAACTCCACCGCCACCTCGCGCTCCCACTCGCCCGCTGAAGTGTCCAGGCGCGCCAACACAATGTCCACGGCGCGCGCCAGCCCTGCCGCGCCCGAGTTGTAGGCGCCGCTGCCCACGAGGTCGACGAGCAGGCGCTGCACGCCCTTGACGTGCGGCTCGCCCGTGAGCAGCTGCAGCATGATGAGCCCCAGCGCGTAGATGTCCGACAGCACACTGATCTCACACGTCACCACCTCCTCGGGGTCGATGTACCCCGCTGTGCCGCGCACGCGCGCCGTCACGTTGTCGTCCTCCGCGATGAGGCGCGCCAGCCCCACGTCGGCGAGCTTGGAGCCGCGGTTGCCGTCCAGCAGCACGTTGTCGGGCTTGAGGTCGCGGTGCGCGATGGGCGGGTCGTGGTGGTGCAGAAACAGCAGCGCCGACGCCACCTCTGACGCCACCCTCACCCGCTCCCCCACAGACAAAGGCCGCCGCCCACCACCCCGGGCGGCGGGGTTTAGGTGGTCCTGCAGCGAGCCACCTGGGAGGTACTCGTAGACGAGGCACATGGCGTCGGGGCAGTGGCCCATGAGCAGCACGATGTGCGGGTGGCGCATGCGGCTGAGCACCTCCACCTCCATGCGGTACTCACTGGGCCCCTGCCACCCCCCGCCCTCCAGCCGCTTCACCGCCACCTGGCACCCCAGCAGCCGCCCCTTGTGCACCTGCCAGCCGCGCAGTCGGTGGGGGAGAGGGGAGAAGGTCAGGGGGAGAGGAGTAAAGGGCAGGGGGGAGGACTGAAGGGGACGGGGAGAGGAGTGAAGGGAACGGGGAGAAGAGTGAAGGGGAGGGGGGGGGGAGTGAAGGGGGGGGGGAGAGGAGTGAAGGGGACGGGGAGAGGAGTGAAGGGGAGGGGGGGAGGAGTGAAGGGGGGGGGAGAGGAGTGAAGGGGAGGGGGAGAGGAGTGAAGGGGGGGGGAGAGGAGTGAAGGGGAGGGGGAGAGGAGTGAAGGGGACGGGGGAGAGGAGTGAAGGGGGAAGTGGGAGAGGAGTGAAGGGGAGGGGGAGAGGAGTGAAGGGGAGGGGGAGAGGAGTGAAGGGGAGGGGGGGAGGAGTGAAGGGGGGGTTGGGAGAGGAGTGAAGGTGGGGGGGAAAGGAGTGAAGTGGAGGGGGAGAGGAGTGAAGGAGGGGGGGAAAGGAGTGAAGGAGGGGGGATGGAAGCAAGGCGATTACTGAGCTTGCCGGGCACATGCTCTCTGTGTGCATGCTTGGGGTTAGCTCTGCAAAACGCAGGAATGGTGTGGCATTGATTGTAGTTTATCGAACCACCCCTGTCCCTTATCGAACCACCCCTGTCCCTTATCGAACCACCCCTGTCCCTTATCGCACCATCCCTGTCCGTTATCTTACCACCCCTGTCCCTTATCGCACCACCCCTGTCCGTCATCTTACCACCCCTGTTCCTTATTGAACCACCCCTGTTCCTTATCGAACCACCCCTGTCCCTTATCGCACCATCCCTGTCCGTTATCTTACCACCCCTGTCCCTTATCGAACCACCCCTGTCCTTTATCGCACCATCCCTGTCCGTTATCTTACCACCCCTGTCCCTTATCGCACCACCCCTGTCCGTCATCTTACCACCCCTGTTCCTTATTGAACCACCCCTGTCCCTTATCGAACCACCCCTGTCCGTTATCTTACCACCCCTGTCCGTCATCTTACCACCCCTGTTCCTTATTGAACCACCCCTGTTCCTTATCGAACCACCCCTGTCCCTTATCGAACCACCCCTGTCCCTTATCGAACCACCCCTGTCCCTTATCGCACCATCCCTGTCCGTTATCTTACCACCCCTGTCCCTTATCGCACCACCCCTGTCCGTCATCTTACCACCCCTGTTCCTTATTGAACCACCCCTGTTCCTTATTGAACCACCCCTGTCCCTTATCGAACCACCCCTGTCCCTTATCGAACCACCCCTGTCCGTTATCTTACCACCCCTGTCCGTCATCTTACCACCCCTGTTCCTTATTGAACCACCCCTGTCCCTTATCGCACCACCCCTGTCCGTTATCTTACCACCCCTGTTCCTTATTGAACCACCCCTGTTCCTTATTGAACCACCCCTGTTCCTTATTGAACCACCCCTGTTCCTTATTGAACCACCCCTGTTCCTTATTGAACCACCCCTGTCCGTTATCGAACCACCCCTGTCCCTTATCGAACCACCCCTGTCCCTTATCGAACCACCCCTGTCCGTTATCTTACCACCCCTGTTCCTTATTGAACCACCCCTGTTCCTTATTGAACCACCCCTGTTCCTTATTGAACCACCCCTGTTCCTTATCGCACCACCCCTGTCCGTTATCTTACCACCCCTGTTCCTTATTGAACCACCCCTGTTCCTTATTGAACCACCCCTGTTCCTTATTGAACCACCCCTGTTCCTTATTGAACCACCCCTGTTCCTTATTGAACCACCCCTGTTCCTTATTGAACCACCCCTGTTCCTTATTGAACCACCCCTGTCCCTTATCGAACCACCCCTGTCCCTTATCGAACCACCCCTGTCCGTTATCTTACCACCCCTGTCCGTCATCTTACCACCCCTGTTCCTTATTGAACCACCCCTGTCCCTTATCGCACCACCCCTGTCCGTTATCTTACCACCCCTGTTCCTTATTGAACCACCCCTGTTCCTTATTGAACCACCCCTGTCCCTTATCGCACCACCCCTGTCCGTTATCTTACCACCCCTGTTCCTTATTGAACCACCCCTGTTCCTTATTGAACCACCCCTGTTCCTTATTGAACCACCCCTGTTCCTTATTGAACCACCCCTGTCCGTTATCGAACCACCCCTGTCCCTTATCGAACCACCCCTGTCCCTTATCGAACCACCCCTGTCCGTTATCTTACCACCCCTGTTCCTTATTGAACCACCCCTGTTCCTTATTGAACCACCCCTGTCCGTTATCTTACCACCCCTGTTCCTTATTGAACCACACCTGTTCCTTATTGAACCACCCCTGTTCCTTATTGAACCACCCCTGTTCCTTATTGAACCACCCCTGTTCCTTATTGAACCACCCCTGTTCCTTATTGAACCACCCCTGTTCCTTATTGAACCACCCCTGTTCCTTATCGAACCACCCCTGTCCCTTATCGAACCACCCCTATCCGTTATCTTACCACCCCTGTTCCTTATTGAACCACCCCTGTTCCTTATTGAACCACCCCTGTCCGTTATCTTACCACCCCTGTTCCTTATTGAACCACCCCTGTTCCTTATTGAACCACCCCTGTTCCTTATTGAACCACCCCTGTTCCTTATTGAACCACCCCTGTTCCTTATTGAACCACCCCTGTCCCTTATCGAACCACCCCTGTCCGTTATCTTACCACCCCTGTTCCTTATTGAACCACCCCTGTTCCTTATTGAACCACCCCTGTCCCTTATCGCACCACCCCTGTCCGTTATCTTACCACCCCTGTTCCTTATTGAACCACCCCTGTTCCTTATTGAACCACCCCTGTTCCTTGGCGAGGGAGCCAAGCTTGGCTTGGGGAGGGGGAGCCAAGGTGGGTATGGGGAGGGGGAGCCAAGGTGGGTATGGGGAGGGGGAGCCAAGGTGGGTATGGGGAGGGGGAGCCAAGGTGGGTATGGGGAGGGGGAGCCAAGGTGGGTATGGGGAGGGGGAGCCAAGGTGGGTATGGGGAGGGGGAGCCAAGGTGGGTATGGGGAGGGGGAGCCAAGGTGGGTATTGGGAGGGGGAGCCAAGGTGGGTATGGGGAGGGGGAGCCAAGGTGGGTATGGGGAGGGGGAGCCAAGGTGGGTATGGGGAGGGGGAGCCAAGGTGGGTATGGGGAGGGGGAGCCAAGGTGGGTATGGGGAGGGGGAGCCAAGGTGGGTATGGGGAGGGGGAGCCAAGGTGGGTATGGGGAGGGGGAGCCAAGGTGGGTATGGGGAGGGGGAGCCAAGGTGGGTATGGGGAGGGGGAGCCAAGGTGGGTATGGGGAGGGGGAGCCAAGGTGGGTATGGGGAGGGGGAGCCAAGGTGGGTATGGGGAGGGGGAGCCAAGGTGGGTATGGGGAGGGGGAGCCAAGGTGGGTATGGGGAGGGGGAGCCAAGGTGGGTATGGGGAGGGGGAGCCAAGGTGGGTATGGGGAGGGGGAGCCAAGCTTGGAAGGGGGCGAAACGTTGATAGGGGATCAAACAGGGACAGTGGGAGAAACAAGAATTTCCAGGGAAGCGGAAAAGATACGGAGCAGTGCAGATGAAAACAGGAATGCGGGGTGCAGCACAGCGAGCATCCATTGAGGGCAGTGGCAGCGCTGTTTGTCTAGTGCGGCTGAGAGCGTTCAGTGCGGCTGAGAGTGGCGTCTAGCCACTCTCTCAGCTCGCCTCTTGCCGTCCCACACAGAGGCCGGCGGGGCAGGGCGGGCAGGACGGGCAGGGCAGGGGGAAGGAGAGGAGGAAGGGGGAAGAAGGGGTAGGGACGAAACGGGATGATGAGAGAAAATGTTGGAAGGGGGAGGGGAGGCGGCGTTGAGGGGCAATGCGGGGGGGAGGTGGCAATGCGAGGCAATGCGGGGGGGAGGGGCATTGAGGGGCATGCGGGGGGGAGGCGGCAGTGCGGGCTGACCATGCCGAAGGCGCCGCGGCCCAGCAGGTTGGCGTCGCTGAAGTTGTCGGTGGCGGCCGCCAGCTGCGCCAACGTGAACTGCCGGCACTCCGCGCCCCCCCCGCCCTCCGTGGGGCGCGCGCTGCTGCCCCCCGCGCTGCCGATGGAGCGCGTGTCGAAGTCGCTCCACGAGGAGCTCAGGCCCGCGTTCGACCCCCCGCTCATGTTGACGCCCATGTTGTCCCACGACGCGCCCCCCGCCCCCCCCGACGCCTGCCGCCCCGGTAGCGGCATCGGCGCCTGCTGCTGCCTCCCCGCGCCCCACCCCGTCCCCCCGCCCGACCCCATTCCCCCGCCCGACCCCCTCGCCGCGGCCACGTGTGCGCCTGGCGGACTGCTGGTCTGAGCGGAACGCGTCGCGTACGGCGCGGCGCGCATGCCCTGAGAGCCGGCGGCGGATGGAAACTGGAGGTGGGAGGAGAGGGCGGGAGCGGGTGGAGAGGGGGCAGCATTGGGGGATGCGCTGCAGCACGACGTGGGAGAGCGCGCGGTTAAGGTCGCGCACAGAGCGCAGCACTGCGCGCGGACTAACACGGCAGAGCGCAGCAGTGCGCGCAGACTAACACGGCAGTGCGCAGCAGTGCGCGCGGACCAACACGGCAGCGCGCAGAGCACGCAGGGAACTGCTCGAGAAGGAAGGGTCGGGGGAGGGACGACGAGAGAAGAGCACACTGAAGAGAGAAGAAGAGGAGACAAGGGGGGGGGGGGGAGCAAGCCAGCGTAAGAAACGGAGCGATTAAGGGGGAGAGGGGATGGAGGCGGTGGAGGGTGGGCAAGCGCACCCCGACGCCTCTTTCGGGGAAGGGCCGCGCGCCGTACGATGGGGAACCCGCCATCCCAGGCGCCAACCCGTCCTTCCGCGGGCTGCCACCCGCCATTGGCGCGCTGCCGCGCGGGCCGGCCGCGAGTCCGCGACTGTCGTGCGACTGCGAGCGCTCCACCGCCGCCAACGCGTCGCGGCTCGCCTTGGGGCTGGCCTCGAAGCTGGTCCGCCTGGACGGGCCCCCCGGCGACACCGTCAAGGCGTCGACGCGCGCCCCCAGCATGGACGCCACGTCCGCCGCGCCGAAAGGGCTGGCTTGAGGCGCAGCGGGACCGGCGGAGGCGCGGTGGATGGGCGGCATGTACTGCGAGAAGTCCTCGTTGGTGCCCAGCCTCATCTTCACCTGCGCCGCCGGCCGCATCGGCGCCGCCGGTTGCGGCGCTCCCCGTCGCGCGTCAGGTACTACACGCTCTTGCGGCTGCGACTGTTGCTGCTGCTGCTGCTGGGCATAGGTGGGAAAGAGCACAGGCATGTGCTGTGACGTATCCTCGTTGGTCCCCAGGCGGATGGAGTGGCCGCTGCCGCTACTACCGGGACTACCCACAAACATCGTAAAAAGTTACTACACTCCACTGCGGTCCAAATGGAGGCGCGCTGAAAGAGAAGTGAGAAGTGATAAAACGACGAGTTGAGAGTTCCCCCAGGAGTCGTGGTGTCTTACGCTAAAACGACGAGCAACCAGCACCACAATTGGCGGGTCAGCGATGACTTGGTTGAGGGGGGATATACCCAGTTGCCGGTTAGCGCGGGGGGAACACTGCACAAACAAGAAAGATCCGCAACACCTGAAAAGCGCCAACAGCAAACCACTTACTGTACGGGAAAAGTGAATGTCATTGGTGCAAGCGCTTGCTCCCCTTCAAACCAGGTCGCGCCACGTCATTCGCAGCTACATTGCTGCCAAACAGATCCTGCCCGATGATAGGACTAGTCGCATAATTTGTCAAAACCCCATAAGACCAACTCATTATCCAAATCAGTTACGGGTGTGGATGTATACACAGTTCAGTGTATCTTAACCTCCCAAAGAAACTAATTATCCAGCTAACACACCCTTCTCATCTCAATTCATTGGCTTCTAATGACAATGCTCTCCGCCTCCATACATCCGCCACGGATATTGACGCTGCAATTTGAACAGTGGAGCTCCCTTATCAGTTCGCTCCGTTAATGCCATCGATGGCATCGCCTTACTGGGAGCTACCAGGACATATAACTTCCGTGTCCTTTACGTGGACATTGTATCAACTGTTTGTCAGAATATGTTATACTTGTCTAGCCTGCAGTGGGGTACTCAATAGTGAGTACAGCCCAATCTAGGGTTTCCTATATGTACTCAACTGCTTGCTAGTCAAAGCCCCTCTTTCTTGTTTCTAACTTTCTACTACTCTCTCAACATGGTTTCAGAGCAGGTCGACCCTCACGGGTCGATCCTGTGCATGGGCCCACCCAATACTTCCGCTGCTGCTACTCTGCCTGTCGCGCGCCTCGAGCGCGCGCCTGCCTGCCGCGCGCCCATGGCGCGCGGCCCATTTTCCTCCCGCCGCGCGCTCGTGGCGCGCGGCGGTTTTCTGACCGTCGGGCGCCCCGTGGCGCGCGGCGGTTTTCTGACCGTCGGGCGCCCCGTGGCGCGCGGCGGTGCCTCGCCACGCCCCCCCGTCGCGGCCCCCTCGTTGCGGCCCCCCATCGCGGCCCCCCGTCGCGGCCCCCCGTCGCAGCCCCCCGTCGTGGCCCCCCGTCGCGGCCCCACGTCGCGACCTGGGGGGGGGGCCGCTCGTCGCCCCTTCTGCCGCCTGTTGTGGCGCCCTGGGGGGCCGCGAGTCGGCCCCTCCCGTCTTCGTCGTCGCCCTCCCCCCCCCCGTAACCTCCCTACCCGCCATCCCGCCCTGCCCTGTGTTAGGGTTTGGGGGTGGCGAATGGGGGTGGCGGGTGTGTGGTCTCCCCTGCTCCTCCTCCTCCTCTGTCTCCCACTGCTGCAGCTGCCGCTGAGGGGGGTGGGTGTGTGGGAGTCGACGGAGTGGTGCTAGGGGGTGGAGTGTGAGTGAACCTAGGGGTGCAGCAGGGGGTGTGTGAAAGGGGGGTGGGATAGTTTGGGGAGGTTGAAAGGGGGGTGGCCGTCGTGAAGCCCGGAGCTCCAGTCGCCCGTGAGACCGTTGCGCCAGTCGCCCGTGAGCCCGTTGCGCCAGTCGCCCGTGAGCCCGTTGCTCCAGTCGCCCGTGAGTCCGTTGCTCCTGCCGCTCAGAGTTAGCCGCGGAGCCAGTTACTCCAGTAGCCCGTGTGCCAGTTGCTCCAGTTGCCAGTGTGCCAGTTGCTCCAGTTGCCCGTGTGCCAGTTGCTCCAGTTGCGCCGTGTGCCAGCAGCTTCAGCTGCCGCCCACTACCTCCTCTCCTCTCATAGTCCCTCCTCCTCCACACCTGCCCTCTGTGATAGCCTCTAGCTTTGCTTACATTTGTGAACTTTAAACTGTTGCTTCTTGTACTTGTGCTCAAAATGTGTGGTGACATTGTGATCCACCCTGAGCTTGTTTTGCTTTGCTTGCTGTGCTGATTACACCCCACTTTGGCTATGGGGGTGTGTCAGAATATGTTATATTTGTCTAGCCTGCAATGGGGTACTCAATAGTGAGTACAGCCCAATCTAGGGTTTCCTATATGTACTCAACTGCTTGCTAGTCAAAGCCCCTCTTTCTTGTTTCTAACTTTCTACTACTCTCTCAACACTGTTCTCAATGGACTTTATCCTTATTACAGATAGCAAACATGAAAAATCTCTCCTGACAGTAGCAATCGAGTCCCACATCAACTAGTATGAAGACGAAAAGACGGAATGACGCGAAGAGTCGCGCACCGATACGAAGCATATGGACCGTAAGGGTAGACAGCATCAGGCAGCAGCAATGTCGAGGATTTTGCCAGAACAGACCGTAACCATCTGGAGTCGCACGGTTGGATTTCGCTGTAATAAGGGAATATACCCCTTAGTGTACTTAGCTAGTTTATGTCGTTTTGTATTCCCATGTACTCTTATTTATATGATTGTATCAACATGTTCTAATCATCTGAGTCTTTTACATTCACTGTGATCTGAGGTCAAGGGCCCAACACTACCACACCATTTCTTGCGAACCTGTCAGAATGTTATTATTGTCTAGCCTGCAGTGGGGTACTCTATAGCGAGTACAACCCAATTAGGGTTTCCTATATGTATGCCAACTGCTGCTAGTGAAACCACTCCTTCCTTCATTCTTGTTACACTTCTTCTTTCTGACATGGTATCTAGAGCGAGCACGTTCTTGCCGCTTCCCTTCACGGGCCCACCAACTGCTTCCACTGTCGTTCTGTCTGTCGCGCGCCCCGTGGCGCGCGACGTGTTATTTTCTTTCCGCCACGCGCTCCGAGCGCGTGGCGGCTTTTTCTGCCCGCCACGCGCTCGGGGCGCGTGGCGGTTTCACCGTCCGTCGAGGCGCCCTCAGGGGGCCTGCGCGCTGCCCTCCCTGTCGCCCGTCGCGGCGCCCCCGGGGGACCTGCGCGCTGCCCTCCCGTCGCCCGTCGTGGCGCCCCCGGGTGGCCTGCGCGCTGCCCTCCCCGTCGCCCGTTGCGGCGCCCTCAGGGGGCACGCGCGCGGCCCCCCGTCGCCCATCGAGGCGTCTTCGGGGGGCCTTCGCGCTGCCCCCCTCCGTCGCCCGTCGCGGCACGCGTGGGGCCTGCGAGCTGCCCCCCCCCCCCCCCCCCCCCCCGTCACTCGTCGCGGCGCCTTCAGGGGGCCCGCCCGCTGCTCCCCCCATCGCCCGTCGCGGCGCCCTCGGGGGGCACGCGCGCGCCCCCCCCCCCCGTCGCCGACCCTGCAGCAGCACGCGAGCCGCCCCTGCACCAGCAGCAGCTCGCGACGCCGCCCCTGCAGCAGCGCGCGACCCGCCCCTGCAGCAGCGCGCGAGCCGCCCCTGGCCCCTGGAGCGAGCCGCCGCTGCAGCTCCTCCTCCTCCGTCTCCCACTGCTGCAGCTGCCGCTGAGGGGGGTGGGTGTGTGGGAGCCGAGGGTTTAGGGTTTAAGGGGGGTGCCGTGGGAGTGGAGCTAGGGTTTCAGCAGGGGGTGTGTGAGAGGGGTGTGGGACGGTCGGGGGAGGTTGCGTGGAGGCTGCCGTCGTGTCGCCTGCAGCGCCAGTAGTCCGGAGCCGTCGTGCTCTCGGTAGCCCAGCGAGCCTGCTGTGCCTGTCGCCCGTGGGTCCGTTGCTCTTGCCGCTCCTCGTAGCCGCCGAGCCAGTTACTCCAGTAGTCCGGGGCGCTGTCCCGGTAGCCACTGTGTGCGCGCTCCTGTTGCCCGTGTGTCTGCAGCTTCAGCCGTCGTCTCCAATCTTCTCTCCCCTCACAGTCCCTCCTCCTCCTCACTTGCCCTCTGTGATTACCTCTAGCTTTGCTTATAATTGTGAACTATTGCTATACCTGCTCATTCTGCTGATTACACCCCACTTTGGCTATGGGGGTGTGTCAGAATGTTATTATTGTCTAGCTTGCAGTGGGGTACTCTATAGCGAGTACAACCCAATTAGGGTTTCCTATATGTATGCCAACTGCTGCTAATGCAACCACTCCTTCCTTCATTCTTGTTTCACTTCTTGTTTCTGACAGAACCTTCCTGAGGAGATCCTAGGATCAATCTTCAGATCGCAACATGGTATGAGAGCAACGCGAGAATCCTTCGCATTGCTACCTCCAAAACTCTCGGCGAACTAAGGTGGCGGCCGGCACACGCTCACGCGTAAGGATGGCCGGAGGATCTGGAGGTCAGACAAATCTGATCGCAAGAGCGCAGTCCAACCTGGCTGCGACAAACGAGGAGATGATGACGATCGACACCGCCGCCCTCGCACTGTCAAACTTATATGCTGCATGTTGTGTAGGCTGTAGTGGGGTAGCCCATATGGGGTACAATACAATTATGGTTTCCTACTTGTACTCCTGCATGCTGCTAGTTTTCGTTATTTTGCTGACATGGTTTCAGAGCAGGTCCTAGCCTAGGACCGTTTTTTTTTAGGGCCCACCGAATCGCGCTACCCCACCGAGTCGCGCCGCCCTGTTAGTGATGTGCTACCTTGCCTTGCCCTGCGTCGCGCTGCTCGCGCATGCCCTGCCTTGCCCTGCGTCGCGCTGCTCGCGCATGCCCTGCCCTGCCCTGCCCGCGCGCGCCGATCGCTGCTCGCCGCCGCGCGCCATTCCCTGCCTGAGCGCCGCCCGCCGCCGCGCCGCGCCGCTCTGCCCGCGCGCCACTCGCCGCTGCGTGCCCTGCCTTGCCCGCGCGCCGCCCGCCTGCCGCGCGCCCTGCCCTGCCCGCGCGCCGCCCGCCACCGCGCGCCCTGCCCTGCCCGCGCGTCGCCCGCCTCTGCGCGCCCTGCTCTGCCCGCGCGCCGCTCGCCGCCGCGTGCCCTGCCCTGCCCGTGCGCCACTCGCCGCTGCGCGCCCTGCCCTGCCCGCGCGCCGCGCGCCGCCGCTCGCCCTGCTCTGCCAGCGCGCAGCCAGCAGCCGCGCGCCCTGCCCTGCCCGTGCGCCGCGCGCCCTGCCCTACCAACGCACCGCCAGCAGCCGCGCGCCCTGCCCTGCCCGCGCGCCACCCGCCGCCGTGTGCCCTGCCCAGCCAGCGCGCCGCCACCAGCAGCGCGCCCAGCCCTGCCCATGCGCTTCTAGCAGCCTCGCTGCCCTGTCTGTGTACAGCCCTGCTGACCGTCGCCCTACCCTGCCCTGCTTAAGCTGCCCTGCTGCTACCGCGCTCGCCTGCTCTGCCCGCTATGGCGACTCTCAGCGTCCTCACCTTCGATCCGGAGGGCCGCCCGATACAGTTCGATTCTTGGCTCGATGACTTACAGCTGTACTTACTGAGCGACTCTAAGGACGGTATTTCGCTGTTCGACCTTACGTCTGGAGCCTTGGCCGCCCCTGCCGCCACAGCTGACATTACGACTCGCTCACAGTGGCTTACTCGTGACGGTGCTACTCGCCTAGCTGTTCGCAACCACCAGCTGTTAGCCGAACGCGCCCACATTGGTCAGCACAAGACTGCTAAAGCCCTGTATGACGCTGTAGTCACTCGTTACTCCTCCCCGGCCACTGCTGTTCTAGGCCGCCTTCTACTGCCCTACATGTTCCCCGAGCTGCCCTCCTTTGCCATAGTCGCTGACCTCGTCACTCACCTTCGCACTAGTGACGTCCGCTACCGAGCCGCTCTTCCCGCCGAGTTCCTCACCAAGAACCCTCCTCCAATGTACATCACTCTCCACTTCATAGTCACCCGCCTCCCTGAATCTCTTAGCGCTGTCAGGGACCTCCTTCTCGCCCTTGACCCCACATACCTCACTGTCGAACTGCTCGAGAAGCACCTCCTTGCAGCTGAGACTAGAATAGTCATTGTAGGTGCTTCTCGTGGCACTCCTCGCACTCCCTTCTGTAAGGGATGTTCGCCCTCCCCCCTTCTACCCTCAGTCGCCTCTGCTGCAGCTGTTGACTACCTTCGTGCTGAGGAGGTAGGAGCTGCGTCTGCCCCTAGTGGGAGGCGCCGCAGCGGGAAGGGCAGGGGAGGCAGGGGCGGTGGGGGTGGTAGAGGTGTAGGCGGTGGTGGGAATGGTGGAGGCGGTGGAGGGGGCGGCGGTGACGGAGGGAGTGGTGGTGGGGGTGGAGGCGTAGGTGGCGGCGGTGGTGGCGGCAGTGGGAGTGGTGGCGGCGGTAGTGGTGGCGGCAGTGGGAGTGGAGGCGGCGGCAGTGGTGGCGGCCGAGGTGGTACCAGCCAGAGGGGAGGCCTTGGCGTTGGTCAGAGGCAGCAGCAGCTGCGTCAGCATGGGACTCTTCCGCCTCAGGAGCAACGTGAGTGGTTTGTTCAGCGTGGGGCGGCTGGCGGTAGTGGTCGCTGCCCGTACGTCATTCGCACAGGTGACCACTCTGGTCAGACATGCGGGAAGCCTCACACCCAGTACCGCTGCTTCTCTCATCTTAACGACGTCTTCCGCACAAAGTTTCCCGACGCGGCTGAGCTCCCCCGCTGGGCAGAGCTGCTTAGGCAGGGTGTGGATATCTTTGCTCTTGATTATGATGCTATCCTTGCTGCCATGTATGCATTGACTGCTAGTGCTGAGGGTGACTGTTACCTGTGTATGCCGCTAGACCCAGGTATAGAGGTTGCTGCTCTAGGTGCTAGTGAGTCTGCTGCTCCAGGTGCTGGTGAGTCTGCTCTCTCTGGTACTACGTCTGCTGCGGCCTTGCACACCTTCATGCTTGACTCGGGTGCTTCCCGCTGTTTCTTTCGTGACAGAACCACAGTCAGACCGCTCTCTGCACCTGTTGCTGTCTCTCTGGCTAACCCCTCTGGGGGCCCAGTCCTTGCATGTTCCTCCACTGTTATGTCATGTCCGGTGGTTCCGTCTGGCTCACTGGCAGGTCTTCACCTCCCCTCGTTCTCTACGAACTTGGTGAGCTACGCCGTCCTTCAGGATGAGTGGGTTGATACCTTCTGTCACGATATGGATGTAATCTAGGCGACGGGTTTAACTAATAGGCCTAGGCTTAGTAGCCTAGGCCAAGCGGGAGTCGAGAGAGTTGAGCCAAGAGAGAATCGAGAAAAGGTGTTTCAATAATAGAAAACATTACAAGTTATAGTCCAAACCAAAGGTGCACCACCAATAGCAAAGAACAATAACTACAGTAACTACAGCAAGCATGATATATTAAATATAACTTTAACACACACCCTTAGCCCGCTTGCAGTAGGAACTAGTGCAATCAAAACCTCTTGAAGGGGTAAACCTGACGCAGTGGAAGACGGCAGAGAGATAAGTGAGGAGGAGGAGGCGAGAGAGAGGAGAGGAGAGGAGAGGAGATATGAACGAAGGAGGAGGTGAGAGAGAGGCATTAGGAGAGGAGGTGAGGGGGAGCCACCCGTGGCGAAACCCTCTTACTAACCCCCTTTTACAAAGGGGGAGGTGAGAGAGTGATGAGGAGAGGAGGTGGGGGGGAGCCAAGCGCGGCGAAACCCCTCTTACTAACCCCCAGATCCCCACACCCATTCAACCACCCCCCCTTAACCTCACCCCCCATTTCAGCCGCCCCCTGGAACCGCACCCCCTCCCCCACTTCCTTCCTCCACACCCTTGCCCCACCCACAGTAGTCCTTGCACTGTCCCGCACACGGCAGCCAGTCCCCCCACCCCCCCACACACAGCAGCAGCCGCGGGAGGGGAGAGGCAGGGCAGAGGGTGGTGCTGCATTGGCTCACGGCGGCCACCATATCCCCACCACCTCCCCCCCAATAGTCGCACTCGCAGAGGGGAAGGTGACAAGGGAGGTTCGGGCGGCGGATAGTAGGTGGGGCGGCGGGGAAGAGGAGGTGCAGCGGAGTGCTGCTGGTGCTGTTACTGGCGGTCGCAGGTGTCACTGGCGTTGTCGTTGTTGGCGTCCCCGCCACGCCCTTCCCCTGTCCCTCTCCTCCCCCACAGCGACTGTCGCTGCACGACGGGGGAACAGTCGCGAAAGCGGGTGACGAGAAGGGGCCACGACGGAGAAAGGGGAGGCGACGAGAGGCGAAGGGGACGGTGGCAAGGACTGCAGGTGCTGCTGGCGCAGCTGTCGCGGTTGGCGCTGGTTTGCGTCACTGTCGCGACTGGCGCCGGTCGGCGCAGATGTCGCTGCTGGAGCTGGTCGTTTGCGGCTGGCGGATGGTTCGACGGCGGATCCGTCGGCTCGCAGGCTGGTGGGTCCTTTGGCGGGTGATGCACAGGAGCGCGACTGGTGACGGGGTAGGTACGGGTGGGGACGAGGCACGTCGGGACTGCGAGTGTTGATGCTCGCCATTGCGACCGTCGCGGCCGTCTCGACCGTTGCAACTCTTGCAACGGTCACACTGACGGGTGCACGACGGGCAGCGCGAGTAACGGCGGTCGTTGAGGGTGGGCCCATTGAGAAAAAAATTAGGTCGAGAACGACCTAGCTCAATGTCACGATACGGATGTAATCTAGGCGACGGGTTTAACTAATAGGCTTAGTAGCCTAGGCCAAGCAGGATTCGAGAGAGTTGAGTTAAGAGAGAATCGAAAAAAGGTGTTTCAATAATAGAAAACATTACAAGTTATAGTCCAAACCAAAGGTGCACCACCAATAGAAAAGAACAATAACTACAGTAACGACAGCAAGCAGGATATATTAAATATAACTTTAACACCTTCACCCCTGGAGGACAGCGTGTGGTGATCTGTACGTGCTCCCGGACTGGCAGGCACCTCGCCACGTTCACCCGTCGGCCTGGATCGAGTCTGTACACACTGACTACTGCGCCTCCGCAGGTAGCTGCGTCTGCGTCTGCGTCAGGTCAGCTTGTGGCCCCCTGCTCGTGTCGCCCCATGTCGCACCAGACACTCCTTTGGCACCACCGCCTTGGTCACCCCTCCATGGCACGCCTCCGTGGCATGCACTCCCGTCTCCTTGTCTCTGGTCTTCCCAGGTCTCTGCCTCCCCTCCCACCCTCGCCTGCCCCTCCATGTCTTCCTTGTGTCGAGGGGCGGCAGCGCGCCGCTCCTCACTCCTCCTCGTTCCCCCCGACGACTGCTCCCCTGCAGACTCTCCATATGGACGTGTGGGGCCCAGCCCGCGTTCGTGGACAGGGCTGCGAGCGGTATTTTCTGCTGGTTGTCGACGACTACACGCGTTACACCATGGTCTTCCCCTTGCGCAGCAAGTGGGAGGTCCCTGATGTTTTGATCCCTTAGATCCACGCTGTTCGTCTCCAACTCCGCGAGCGGTTCGAGACGAACCTTCCCGTCCTACGTCTGCACTCTGAAAGAGGTGGTGAGTTTTCCTCCGACCTCTTGCGGGACTTTTGTCGTGGGGAGGGCATTCGCCAGTCGTTCACGCTTCTGGCCTCTCCGCAGCAGAATGGGGTTGCTGAGCGCCGCATTGGCTTAGTCATGGAGGTCGCTCGTACCTCCATGATCCATGCGGCTGCCCCCCCAATTTCTGTGGCCGTTTGCGGTCCGATACGCTGCACATCAGCTCAACCTCTGGCCCCGTGTCTCCTTGCCGGAGACCTCGCCGTCACTGCGTTGGACGGGAGAGGTTGGCGATGCGTCGGTGTTCAGGGTCTGGGGATCTCGTGCCTTTGTCCGCGATACCACCGCGGACAAGCTCTCCTCCCGCGCCATTCCCTGTATCTTCCTTGGCTTTCCCCCTGACGCACCTAGTTGTCAGTTTTACCACCCCACCTCGCGCCGTATCCTGCTTCTCAGGAAGTCACATTTGATGAGTCGTTTCCCTTTTACCGTCTCTTCCCCTACCGCACTGCCCCTCTCCCCCCCCCCCCGCCGCTCTTCCTCGCACCAGGTCCCCTTCCGGTAGACCCCCTCCCCCCTCAGGGTCCTCCTCCCTCAGGTGTGTCCCAGGTAGACCCTGTCAAGCCTGCCGAGGTAGCTGTCGACTCAGGTGCTTCTGAGGGTGGTGCGTCTGGGGATGCTGAGCCTGCGGGTGCGAGGCTTGGGGATGCTGAGTCTGAATGTGCGGAGCCTGGGGGTGCTGAGTCTGAGCGTGCGGAGCCTGGGGGTGCTGAGCCTGGGGGTGCGGAGCCTAGGGGTGCTGAGCCTGGGGGTGCTGAGCCAGAGCCTGCTGAGCCTGGAGGTACTTAGTCCGCTGGAGGTCCTACGGGTGTCTCGTCACGACGGGAGCCTCTCTCTCCACCGCAGCTGCGCGAGTGGTTTGCCCGTCACTGGAGCCTCTGGAATGGCGCTACTGGAGATGGGGGGCCTGCCGCTGGAGGCCGTGGAGCCAGAGCTGCTGGAGGTGCTAGAGCCGCTGGTCCCGGAGGTGCTCGTACTGTAGGTACTGGAGCTGCTAGAGCTGGAGGTACTACTGGAGCTGGAGCTACTGGAGGTGTTGCAGCCGCTAGTCCCGGAGGTGCTCGTTTTCGAGGTATTGGACCTGCTGGAGGTGGAGGTGCTGTAGGAGCTGGAGCTGTTGGAGGTGCTGGAGCCGCTGGTCCCGGAGGTGCTCGTACTGGAGGTACTGGAGCTGCTGGAGCTGGAGGTCGTGGAGCTGCTGGAGCTGGTGGTGCTGTAGGCGTTGGAGCTGGAGACCCTGGAGCTGGAGGTGCTGGCCCTGGGGGTACTGGTGCTGTCGGTGTTGGTTATGGAGGCGCTGTACGACCGCGACCGTACTTCGTTCCACTACTTAAGCAGGTTCTTGGTCTCTCGCCTTCTACAGACCTTACTCCTCCCTTACTGTGTCCACCGCCTTACCAGTCCCAGTCGCAGTTAGAGCCAGCCTCCCCACTGCCGGCTCCTTCTCCTTACACTGAGTAGCCCGGAGGTCTTACAGAGCGTCGTGAGCCTGCGTCTCATCCTGCGTCGCCTATTTGTGCTGTGCGCACTAGTCGTCATGTTCCGCGTGAGAGTCCTCCTCCTGTCCCCGGCACGCACCAGATGGCACTTCGTCCTTCCTTTGTTCCACTACGTGTCCCTCTGCCGTCTCCTCCTACGTCCTCCCTTGCTAACTGTCCGGACCCGGAGTCTGACTTACTTCGTGCTGCCAGCCCTACTGTCACGCGTCTGCTAGCTACTGTCATCACTGACCCTTCGTTTGAGTCCACTGCTGCGGCTGCCCTTGTTGCTGAGCTTGTTGACTTTGCTGTTGCCTATCGCCTTGACTACGCCGCTAGTCTTGTTGCTGAGTCTGAGTCTGTCTGTCCTCCGTCCGTCGGGGTTGAGTGTGCTCTTGGCACGGACGTCCTCGAGTGTTTTGCAACTGCTGTACATCATCTCGTGTCCATGCTGATTGCACCTGAGGGAGACCTGGATGCACCAGACATCCCGACCCCGCGCTCTTACGCAGTGGCGATTGAGGGTCCCTACTCCTCTCAATGGCAGTCAGCCATGGATGCAGAGATGGCATTAGGAAGTCCACAGGCACTTACGTCGACGACGTTCCCCCACCTGGGGCGAACATCGTCAGTGGCATGAGGATTTTCAGGGTGAAGCGGCCGCCGGGTTCTCCGCCTGTCTTCAAGGCGCGTTACATTGCACGAGGCTTCAGTCAGCGACAGGGAGTTGGCTTCTTCCAGACCTTCTCCCCTACCCCGAAGATGACCACTCTTCGGGTTCTGCTGCACGTCGCCGCTCAGCGTGACTACGAGCTTCACTCTCTTGACTTCAACACAGTTTTCCTACAGGGCAGCCTGCATGAGGAGATCTGGCTGCCCCGCCCACTTGGCTTCACTGGGTCATTTCCTGCAGGTACCCAGTGGAGCCTCCGGCGGCCAGTCTACGGTCTCCGCCAGGCGCCTCGCGAGTGGCACAACACACTGAGGACGACGTTTGCGGCTCTTGGGTTTGCTCCTTCGACTACTGACCTGTCACTGTTTCTGCGCACCGACACTTCGCTGCCGCCGTTCTACATCCTCCTGTATGTCAACGACTTGGTGTTTGCCACTGCTGACACTAAGGGACTCGCCCACGTGAAGTCGGAGCTGCAGAAGAGATACACTTGCACATACCTAGGAGATCTGCGCAGTTATCTTGGCTTGCACATATCCCGGGACAGAGCACGGCGCACCATTACCTTGACTCAGTCACACATGGCGCAGCAGGTCCTTCAGCTCTTCCGCTTCACATATACTTTGCCACAGTCCACTTCTCTGCCTACCGGTCACTCGCTCTCAGCTCTGCCTTCGGATGAGTCCGTAGAGCCGAGTGGCCAGTATCCAGAGCTTGTGGGTTGCCTCATGTACCTGATGACCTGCACTCGACCTGACCTTGCTTACCCTCTTAGCATCCTGGCATGCTACGTTGGGCCCGGGAGACACCGACCAGAGCAATGGGAGGCCGCTAAGAGGGTGTTGCGCTACTTGTGTAGTACGTTGGGCATGTGGCTCGTGCTTGGAGGACGAGCTCGAGTTCTCCTCACTGGACACGCAGACGCTTCTTGGGTTGACGACTTGGCTACGCAACGATTGTCACAGGGTTACACCTTCAGCCTTGGCTCCGGCTTTGTTTCTTGGCGGTCTACCCGCTCGTCTTCTGTTCTCAGTTCCAACTGTGAGGCTGAGATCTACGCAGGGGCCATGGCTGCACATGAGTTACGCTTGCTCACCAACCTACTGACTGACTTGGGAGAGGCGCCTCGTTCTCCTCCAGTTCTGTACGTCGACAACAAGGCCATGATTGCCTTGTGTCAGGAGCACAGACTGGAGCACAGGACAAACCACATCGCTCTGCGTTACTTCCTTGCTCGAGAGTTGCAACAGCGTGGACAGCTTCGTCTTGCATACGTGGCCTCTCGGGCCAACACTGCTGATATCTTCACGAAGGCACTTCAGCCTTGTGAACATCAGTGTTTCTGTACTTTTCTTGGCCTTGTGCCTACTTTGCCTCACTTGCTCACTTCTTGACTTTGCATGTACTGTGATCTATATGCTTATACCCGCATGCTTACACTTGCTAGATTTTGATAACTGTACTGCTTGTTTTGCTATATATAACTCTGCATGTGAACTGGTCTTGTGGCCATTTGCTTGTGCTCAGTGTGTGTGGTGACTTCATGATCCACCTTGAGCTTGCTTTGCTTTTCTTGACTGGTCTTGTGACCTCTTGTTCTCCCCCACTTTGCCTATGTGGGTGTGTCAAACTATGTTTTTTTCTGTATGTTGTGTAGGCTGTAGTGGGGTTGCCCATATGGGGTACAACACAATTAGGGTTTCCTACTTGTCCTCCTGCATGCTGCTAGTTCATCCA